TCTCTCTCTCTCTCTCTCTCTCTATATATATATATATATATATATATGATATATATATATATCAGGGGAAAATAAACAAACAAATTAAAAGTTTAGCAGTCCCTCGGCTCCTGCCCCACGTCCCTAGGACCTCTAATGCCACTTCTTCCGTGGCAGGTAAAAGTTTATTACTGGTGTACCCACTGGGAGCCCATCTGTGTCTGCCTCAAGCCTTCACCGCGGCACCGCCCCTCCCAACTTCTGTCCTTGTGTGCTCTGGCTCCTAGTCTCCCCCAAAGCTTCAAATCTTTACAAATTTCTCTCCCTCTTTGCTTCCCTTCCTTTCCCCCTCCCTTCTCCTCTCCTCTCCCCTTTCTTCAGCTTAGGCTGGCTTGGAACTTATGATCCTCCTGCCTCATCCTCCCTGTCGATTTCCCCCTCAGACTCTTGGATCACAGTCCATACCTCAAAATCTGACCAGTGCCTCAGAATGTGTTTGTGATTGGAGGCACGGTTTTGTTGTTTTTTTTTTTTTAAAGGTTATAGCAAGGCAGATGTGGTTTTGAATGTCTGTAGTTGTAGCACACACAGTATGCTCAGAGGATCATAGAGAATAGCCTGGACTACATCGTGTGTTCTGGGCTAGCCTGGCCTACACTGTGAGACTTTCAAAACAAACCCAAAAACCAAAAGAAGTCTGGGGATCCCTCTGTGACTGTGACTGTATTGCTTTCTGGAGTCTGGGTGTGAATTGTGATGACATCATCATCTTTTCAGTGTGGTCTCACCTGAATATTTACATGTTAAAATTCACCTCACTTACAACAATTTGCCTTCCTTTTATTCTCTTGTATTTGTTTCTTCCTCATCTTTATTTTGTTTTGAGATAGAGTCTTACTGATGTCTTTGGACTAGCTGTGTAGACCAGGCTGGCTTTGAATTCACAGAGGTCTGTCTGCTTCTGCCACACCAGTGCTGAGATGTCAATTCTGAGCTATACACACCTTTTCTATGGTCTGTTTAATTTTATGTGTGTGTGTGTGTGTGTAGGTCAGAGGGCACTCACACCACTGTGCTCACCTTTCTATGTGGGCTTCACAGCTAGAGCTCAGGATGCCAGCCTTGTAGGGCCAGTGCTTTGACTACTGAGCCCTCTCCTTGGCCCAGTCTTCTGTATTTTAAAAAGTTGCGTAAGAACAACAAAATGTGAGGTGGATCCATGTAATGGAATAGTATTAGGAATAAATACATACAAAGCACTGACATAGCACTTGCTATAACATGGATGCTCCTAGAAAACAAAGTGTAAAAGGCCAGACAGAAAAGGTCACGTGGTTTCATTTACATGGCTGTCTGGAATATGCAAATCCACATTGATAGAAATTGGTTAGGGAGCTGGAGACATGGCTCAGAGGTTAAGAACACTTGCTGCTCTTTCAGAGGACTGAAGTTTGGCTCTCACATCAGGGGGCTCACAACTGCCTATAACTCCCACCCCAGGGGCTCCAACACCTCTGGTCCCCATAGGCACCCGCATTCATATGCACATACCTATATGCAGACACGCAGACCTACATGTAATCAAAAATAATAAAAAAACTTTTTTTGAGACAGGGTCTTACTATGTAACTCTGACTATCTTGAAACTCTCTATGTATATGAGGCTGGAATTGAATTCACAGAGGTCTGCCAGCCTTTGCCTTCTGAGTGCTGTGATTAAAGGTGTGCGCCATCACTGCCTGGCCTAGAACTGAATTTTTGTAGGCATTATGCCCTGGCATTTATTTTATGGTTTTTTATTTTTTATTCTTTTGAGACAGGGTTTTTTGCATAGCCCTTGCTGGCCTGGAACTCACAGAAATCTGCCTGCCTTGGCCTCCCGAGTGCTGGGATTAAAGGTGTGCACCACTATACCCAGTTATGAAAATGAATCTTTATAAAAGATAGAGTTTTTTGTTTTATGTGTATGAGTGTTTTTGGATCCTATCTCCAGAAGTCGGTAAAGGACAACAGATCCCTAAGAACAGATCCCTAAGAACTATAGATACTTGTTAGATGCCAGGTAGGTGCTAGGAATTGAACCCAGGTCCTGTAGAAGAGAGACAAAGGCTCTTAACAGCTGAGCCAACTCTCCAGCCCAAAGGACCCAAGTTTGAATCCCCAACATCTATGTTTTTTTCGAGACAGGGCTTCTCTGTGTAGCTTTGGTGCCTGTTCTGGAACTTGCTCTGTAGACCAGACTGGCCTTGAACTCACAGAGATCCACCTGCCTCTGCCTCCCGAGTGCTGGGATTAAAGGCGTGTGCCACCACTGTCTGGCTTCCCCAGCACCTATTAAAAAGCCAGATATGGCTCTGCTTGCTGTAATTCCAGCACTGGGTGGTCAGTTAGACAGACAGACCCCAAGAGCTTGCTGACCACTCATCCTATCCAGTGAGCTTCTAGTTTTGGTAATAGACTCTTAAGGGTTTCTTGAGGCAGAGAGCAATGGAGGAAGACACCCAATTTTCTGCTATGGCCTTTGCTCACATGAAACATAAAAAACCTGGTTAGTGAGTGCCAGAGATAGAAGACAGGGCTCGGGGTGACAGCTCCAGGAATAGTGGAAATATTCTGGAATTTGATGGTGGCTCTGGTTAGCTACATATTCTTCTATTTTTAAAAAAAAGATCTATTTATTATTATTTTATATGTATGGATGTTTTGCTTTTATGTATGTATGTGTACCGTGGTGTGTGCCCTGGTGCCTGCAGAAGCCAGAAGAAGGTATCAGATCTCCTTGGACTGGAGTTTACAGATGGCTGTGGGTGCTGGGAATCAAACCTAGATCCTCTGTAAGAGCAGCTACTGCTCTTAACTGCTCAGCCATCTCATCAGCAACCTAGCTTTGTTTTGTTTTTAAGACATGGTTTCATATAGTCCAGGCTGGCCTGGAATTCACTATGTATCTGAGGACGATCTTGGGTTTCTGATCCTCCTGCCTCCACTTCCTGAGTTCTGGGATTGCAGGCTTACATCCACACCCTGCTTGATTTTATATTCTATGACTGTACTTCTATGAGTGTCCAGATCAGGAAAATCTGTAGACACAGAAAGCAGGTTAGTGGAGGGAGAAGAAAAAAAAATAGTTGGGGAGGGGATCAAGGTTTCTTTAGAGGGTTGGTGAGATGGCTTGGTGAATAAAGGCATTTGCCGCCAAGCCCGAGGACCTGAGTTCGATCCCCGGGACCCACATGGTGGAAGGAGAGAGAGAACCGATGATCATAAACACACATACTCTTTTGTCCAATAAATGAGTAAGTGTAGAAATGTGTTTTGAGGGTTTCATTTGTAAGCGAGGCATGATGGCATATGACTGACATTCAGGGACTCCAGTGCTGTGTAGTGTAGGATCATGAGTTCAAGGGTAGCCTGGGCTACACAGTGAAACCTCACCTCAAAACAAAGCAAAGCAAAACTAAACAAGTACAAACAAAACCTCAGCAAAATGAAACAAGGGCTGGAGAGACGGCTCAGAGGTTAAGAGCATTGCCTGCTCTTTCAGAGGTCATGAGTTCAATTCCCAGCAACTACATGGTGATCACAATCATCTGTGATGTGCTCTGTTTCCTTTTTCTAGCGTGCATTGCAGCCATACATGGAGGAAGAACACTATATACATAATAAATAAGTAAATCTTTAAAAAAACAAAAAAGAAACAAAATAACACAGAAGACAATTTTAACTGGGCATGATGACTTGGGAGGCAGAGGAAAGTGGATCTGCATGAGTCCAGCCAGCCCAGTCGACATAGTGATTCCCTGTCTTTAAAGAAGAAATTAAAAAAAAAGAGAGATAAATTTGGAAGGTGAGAAAGTGTTCTAAAACTGACTGGTTGTAGATGCCATCTCTATGTATATGCTAAATGTCTTTGAGCTGCACACTGCCCTGTTTGGTCTGGTAGTGGACATTCAACCCAGGGTTTCACACATGCTGGGCATGTGCTCTGACACTGTCTGACACTGACCTACACCCCCAGCTTTCCTTTTTGTCTCCCTGAGTTGCCCAGTCTACTCTTGAACACCCTCTTTAGACCCTCCTGGCTCAGGCTCCTGAGTAACAGGGATTGTAGGCGCGGGCCACCAGCCCTGGCTCACTTCATACTTGACTAAATTGTTAGTATGTAAATTGTGTTTTGATGTTTAGTTTTTTTTGTTTATTTTTTCTTTCTTTCTTTCTTTCTTTCTTTCTTTCTTTCTTTCTTTCTTT